GCTTGAAGCCCAAGTTGCAGTGGGCTTATCTGCATTTATGATCAGAATGCAGGAACAGCAATGAGGATTCCTGAGGCCTAATGCAGGTAAATACACTCTGTGCCATGAATACATCATAATTATTGAATGAGAGGAGGGAAAGAACAGGGCAGTGAACACCAAGGGTACACATCAGGGAGAGCCTGACTCATGAAATAGAAAGGTAGCAGAAGATTTCCAAATAAGGAGTTCTAGTATGGGAATTTAGAAAGTGCTAGAAGGCCTAGAGGAAGAAAAGAGGAAAACTAGAAGTCACATGAAGGCAGAATGATAACACCGAGAATAAGACACACCTCACACACCCTTAGGCTGTTGCTTTGCTGGGAAAATTGAGACCACAGATGTTGCTACACCTGCATGGACTTTAGGAGCCTATCATTACCCTACACTGCTGGGTAGAAGCTGCTGGAATTTCTGTAGAGGCTATTCCAGATGCTCCCTTATGTTTTACTAGCAATGCCTCTATTCAGCTGGACCTAAAAAGCAAGCCAGGCAATAAAGGACCTGGGAAAAGCAGCTTCAGTCCTTCAGCCCAGCTGTACAGATCAGAGTGTGGACGAGGAGGCAAACCACAACCCCTGCCCTTGGCATAAAACGGCCAAATCAGAACAACTTGAGAGCAAAATCCCAGCCAATAATGAGTTCTCAGGAATACCTCAGGGACGCAATACTTTTAAAGTTTGTTTAAATGTCTGGCTAAAGGCGTTTCAGTCAATGATCTATTTCAGGGCTTTCATTTTTTTTCTTGAAGATTTGCATAGATATTCCAGGCTTAAGAACCATTTAGTTTCTGTATTGGCTACTTTCCTTCCTTTTGTACTATATGAGCCTTACAGAATATAAAAATGAATGAATACAATTGTATTGCAATATAATTTATCTCACCAATACATGTGCTCAGCCCACAGGCCATGCTTTATACATATATTGGATACATACCCATCACCTAAGGAAGCCATGAAAATTGTTAAAAAAAAATATTGTTAGCAGAATTTAAATTTTGTGTTAATTTTTAATTTAATTAATGACATTTAACTGTTAATCTTTGAAGAATGAATGCTTCATAACTATAAAAAATTAACCTGTGTATGTCCAGTTTTAATTTGCTAATGATTTTGGAATGCTTATACATTTAATTCTGTTATTTTGCTGAAAAAGAAACAAGTTTAAAAATTTAGAGATGTTTACTAGAAAAAAAATTTTGTCTCATATCTCTTTGAAAAAAATAGCTGAGAATCAATTATAGAAAATGGAGACCAGTTAACAGGATTCCAAATATGTCTGGATGAAAGAAATAGACAGCTTAGTGTATAACAGGCCACAGTGGTAATCAGTGCTCTATATGAAAAGTCCAGAGTCGTAAGAATGCATTTAAAAATTTATGTACAAATTAAGACTGGAAATCTGACCCTTGCCTTAAAATTTATTTAAAAAAAATTCTATAATGTTTCTGACAATAATTTATTACTGCAACATGACATGGAATATCAAGAAAAATGCTTTAGAGGAATACTTAATATCATTGTGGATATTTTCTCAAATTTGTCCTATATCATAAATTCTGTTAATACAAGCAAAAGTTGAACTACTGTTCAATTCTTAATTCCACATACAGTGTCTTCTTAGAGCCTCTTTAATTTTGGCTATGCCTGACAAATCTGGGTGTAAAACTACAATAGGTTTTGTTAAAGAGTATTTGTTTTCTCTTTTGTGTTGAATGTTTGGCTATTCCTTAGTCCTTTGACTCTCAACATATAAACATATGTCATCAATAACAGAAACTGAGCATACTGTGGGTACAGATTTATGAGGTATATATCATCTTAGAAGAAAGACTAAGTCTTCATAATCTTGCAAACTCAAATAGGTTTGTTTTAGCAGAAATGAAATACTAGATACTGCCTAATGTATATATTTTCATTGAATATTTAGCAAAACATTAAATAGTATTTGTCCTATACCTGCTACATTCATTTTTGTTCAACATCTGTTATATTTGTTGTAATGGCGTAACGCTTTTTATTTCTTCCATATTTTGTATTTTGCATTTTTCTCAACTTATTTGAACAGTTTCCACTGGATATTTCCATATGTAAGATAATAGGGCAGAGTTTGCTTTTATGATAAAAATGGGGTCTACAGAAAAAGTTTCAGATACTTCCATGGAAACATGAAAGTATTCAGAGTATGTATGTCAGACCTTGCCAAATTACATACTAACGCGCATGCACACACACGCTCTCTCTCTCTCTCTCTCTCTCTCTCTCTCTCTCTCTCTGTTGTTTTTGGTTGAACCAGCACTGCCTTTTTCAAGTGAATAACAAGGTTCAAGTTTTTCAAGCTAAAGAAGGAATATAAGTAGAATTTATTGTTGAGTATTTGACCCTTCCTGTTTCCTCAGAAGTGATTAATTGACAAGAAACTTTTGAATAAAGGAAAACTGCTTGAGGCTATAGCCCAATAACAAGGGAAAGATTGAGTGAATGTCTTGTAATGATTTAAATTTCGTTGTAAGGTTCAGTGAGTCCCAGAGCAGAGCTCATGATTAATTCATATGATAAATCACAGGTAGATGGAAAAAAATTTCCACACTTCAAGCACTGAACGTTGCTTAAATAAGAAAGACACGCTTGCAGCTGTATAGTTCTGCAGTGTTGAATGGAGAACATTCATAGAGCCAAGGTCATTTCCTCTTGACTGGAATATCATTCCTGTAAAAGCCAAGTATGGCTGGAGGGCAGAGAACCAACTTCCCCAAAGGGAAGAGGAATTGTCCTTCTTGCAATGATGATCAGACTGTGACAAAAGATACAGTCTGATCAACATGGCATTTCTCTATTATCAATCACATACTAATTGGGAAAAACAAGAACAATCGTATGTATGATGTTCAGTACCGCCCTGCGGGGCCAAGGCAGTGGCTCTGCTCTGTGAGGATCTTTAACACCTCACCATCACAACTTTCAGAAAACCCAGTGACTGGAACAGGAAGGGATGCCTAAGCCAAGCAATTAAAGCTGATGTTCCTGGGAATACTTTACTTACGAAGTCACTCAGAGTTACTAATCTACATAGTATTAAGAGGTTGCTAAATTGCTGATGAGTTTTATTGGCTTACTATGTCATATTTGTGAATTTTTGTGTGGTACAGTGTGCTATTTTAGCATGTATGTAGAGTATAAAGTCATCAGACAACTCACTTTTCAGATTTCTTATCTTGCCTTTGTGTGCTTTGTATATTGAGTTTATCAGTTCCTCTTCCAGTTCTACAGTACATTTTTGTGAATTAGAGTTGTCCAACTATGCTACAAAAAAACAAGAATTTGTTCTGTCTGTGCCTTTTTTATTTTTGAAGAAATATTGATCATATTTATAGCAGCACTTTTTTTTTCTCATGTGCTTGTGGGTTGTTTCCCAGCATTTGCTTATTTATTTAGAAATGCAGAAATAGTGAGAGAAATGCTGAAATATTGAGAGAAATACAGAGACAGAAGCAGAGAGAAAAATGTCTCCCCTCTAGTGGTTCACTCCCCAGATGACTGTCATGAAGCTAGTAGCCCAGCTCTACTGAGTCCTACCAGATTTCCCACGTGGATCCCACAGGATCCAAGCAGTTGGGTCTTCAACGCTGCTTTCTGAGGCACATTAGCAGGCACTCAAACCTGTATGGGATGCTGGCGTTGCTGGAAATGGTTAAACCCACTGAATATCCACACTGGCCTTATCTGACTTGTTTTAGTACTTGTACAGTCTTCCTCCAACTTCCTGACATCCTTTCCAGCCTCAAGTAATCACTATTCTGAGTTCAAATCAACTTTTTTCTTTTGTTTTGTTAACTTTTTGATGCCAGGCAAAACGTTGTATTTGTCTTTTTGTGTCTTACGTATCTCAAAGCGATGACCTTCAATTCTGACATTTTTGTTACAAATATCAGGATTTCATTCTTTCATGGTTGAATAATATTCCATGGTACAGGTATATATTCTGTATTTTCTTTATCAGTTCTTTTGTCACCTCATAGTTTTTTTTATTGCTAAGCACTTATTTCCACACTAAGCATTTTTAAAACTTGTGGTTTGATATTCATTTCTTTTAATTTTTGTTCCTAAGCAAATTGAATATGAAACTATCTTCATCAATAGGATTTAAAGTCCCTGTTTTGCGATGTCACAAGATGAATAAAGCTTTTGTAACTATGTCCTTAAAAAACTATGGTGTGGTGATCTTCCCTGACCTTTTTGCTATATTGACTCTATTCTATAAACTTGGGCTACTGCAAGTTTCTATTTAAAGTTGTCAGTTCTGCCAGAGCTATAAGTAAAAATAAAAAATAATTATCTAAGCTCTAGCATCCATTATACTAAGGAATATTTCTAAGACAAACGTAAAGAACTGATCAACCGCTATGTCTTGGAGCTATTAAGTATCTCTGAACTTCTGTTATATTGATATTCTGGATAATGAAAGATCCTCTACCTGCTGACTTAATACAGATTTCCTTAGCAGCTTTACACACTAACAGCTTATAACAGCCATTTGCCTTCCTGCAGCATAGTAAGTTGCTATCATAAAATGGTTTTCTATCTTATAAATCCACTGAGCTGCTTTTTTTTAGGGTCCCTGATAGACCTCAATAGCATGAGCTGCAGGCAGAATTTGGAATGGAGCTTGCATGAATGAATTCATGCTGACTAGAGAGTTAACAGTACATTATAATGTTAAATGACAGAGTCCAGGGACATTTCAGTGTAATATATGGGTATACATGCTGAAAGGACTTTCCATTGCCTTTCCCCTATACCTATCATGTTCCATTACTTAGTTTTGTCTAATCATGTCCTATTTTCCTAACTCCTTAAATTCCAAATCCGTTTCTGGATGGTGAGATAGATTAAGTTTGTTAGTATTTCTCTCCTTTCCATATATGCTTATATTAATTCTTTTCTTAGAATTTGCATACAAGCTTTGTGCAGTGGCAGAATCGTGGCCAAAGAGGTTTATCCGAGGCATGATTGTTGCTAAAATAATTTGCATATAGTGTTTTTTTAAAAATAGTTACTTTAGGGCAGGGAATCTATTAGTTCATTCTGTAGATGCTTGCAGGACCCTCAGGCAAAAGCACCTACTCAGAGCTGGGATCTCAATCCTGACCTGTTACATGATTGTCTGTGATGTAACTGTTTAAGTCTACTGCTGCCTTCAACAGTGAACTTTAGCACCAAGTAGAATCAGGAACTCACAAAGAACTCAGTGACTGATAGCCCTCATTCAAAGTTCCTGTTGTCCCGTTATAAATTTTGTTCTTCCAGGAATGAAAAGATGACTCATTCACTTAGTAGTGACTGTGACTGAAGGTTTTCATTTGTTTTCCAAGCAAATTAAGCTAACTTTTTGTGAGATACCAGTATGTGACAGGTCAGTAGTTCACAGACATGAATATATACTATATCTGCTTTTAAACCAAAGTACTACCCATATATATTAACCATGAAAACAAATGACTTAAGCTCAATCAAACGTCATAGATTAGTAGACTGAATTAAAAAATAAAACCCATCTGTTTGTTGTCTAGAAGAGACACATTTCACCAACAAAAATCAATGGAAATTATATCGCATGGGTTTTGATATTTTGTTTGTTTCATCTCTTCAAAAACACTTTCTTCTGATTAAATTCTTCAATGACTCATAGATCATACAGCAGCATCTTTTCTGCAAGAAGGTTTTTGATTTTCATTTCTTCAGCTGCATGTTAGTCATTTAGTAGCATGTGTTTAACTTCATAATGTTGTTCATTTCTTTTTTCTTCCTGATGTTGATTTTGTTTTGTGGCTTTTCATTTAAGGGGATGTATAGTACCTGTGTAATGGAGCATGTCATATCTAGTAACATGTTATTTAACTTCATGGCATCGTAAATTTCTACTTTCTATTGCTGATTTTGTATTATGACTTTTCATTTGAGGGGATGTACAGTAGCTGTGAAATGGAGACTAACATATCCAGATGTGAGGATACAATGTAGTATTCATTTCTACTTCCAGACAGAGATGGACTAACAATGAAACTGTTTAGTTTATCTTGACAATAGGATGCTGGACTCTCTGCCATTGTCCATGCCCACAATGATGGACATATGACTGTGTATGAAGAACTATGCTTTAGTAATGATATAGAGGAACTTGGTGGGGTGGGGGAATTGGGGCTCAGATAAGGGAAATACCAGTAGCCTATGGAACTGTATTATAAAATGATAATAACAATAAAAAATAAAATGAAAAAAAAACAAAAAGGCAATTTACTTTAGATATGGTGCAGAAATTCTGTCATCAAGAAGTTGGATAAAGGTGAAAATAGGCAAGTGTGTAATAAATGTGCAAGTGTTGCTGGAAGATAGAAAACCTGCCCTTGTTTTGCCCTAGGTTATTTTCTTGTATTTAGGCTCTGACCTGTTATTGCCTTCTCAAGCAGTTAAATCTTGCCTTCCTTTATCTTCTCTCCCATGGTTTGTTGTTTTCCCCTAAGCTTGTATCTTTCCAATATTAACAAAATAGCATAAAAACCCTTGAAATAGGTGCTTAGACTTTGGCTGTTCTCTCAACACACACACACACACACACACACACACACACACACACACACACACCAATTGAGAGAGAGAGAGAGAGAGATTGAGAGAGAGAAACAGATGTAGGAGACTCTTTAAACACCAACACAAAGACCACACTTCAAATTTTAGCATGCATCAGAATTTCCCAGGAATATTTTCTTGCTGAACCCCAACCGAAAGATTCTGATTCACAAGTTGTAGTGCAATGGTGATGATGCTGACTGAGGAATCAACATGGTACAAGTGATACCAAGGCATCTCTACAAAAGAAAAAACGAACAAAAATAAAGTTTAGCAGACTGACTTTCAGAGAGACAACTGTGTTTGTGTTGTATTTCCTTTAACATCAATTATATCTGGCAGTAAGCTGGCAATCTGGCACTTCAAAAATATAAAGTTATGACTTGAATCATTAAAAAATATAAAGTTAAAACTTGAATCATTTGCTGATTGCTTTGGCATACATACTCCCACCACAGTGTATTTGATGATACAAATATCATATAAGTCAACTGGAAATTTGGAAGATATACATACATTTAGCATTCTTATGAACATGTTGGAGGCAGACAGTACACCACTGTTAATGGACAGGGAGACATTTACTACTGGAAGAGCTTGTCATTGGCGTAGACGAAACTCAAACAACCCCAGAGCTTGTCTGTTGAATTTATCTTCCTTCTCTACCTTTGTCTTTATTCTGCTCTTCCCTAAATTGGTCTTTGTTCTGGGAAATCCTAATGTGCATTTTCTGTTCAGTGCCACAAATTATGTGTGTATATACAATGGAAGTTTGGGTAATATGTTATGTTACATGTGTTATTTACTGTCCCATAAATCATGAAAACTTTCCATCCCAAGAACTGAAAAAAAAAAAAAAACAGTTTGGTTGAAAAGATTGAGGGTGGAAGAGAAAGGATGGGCTGGATATCATAGTCTGTGAACCTTTCAACATTGACTCCTACTTTGGTCTCATTTTGGAATAAATAAGCCCAGGAATTACACAGCTAGGATACTATCATTATTTTCAATTCATAAACTTTCCAAATATATTCATGTATTTCCTATCTCCAGAATACAGGGAAAGAAAGCAGTAATGACTATTCCCTCTGCTGGCTAGATGTCCATATTCTCGCCAGTCTGTCCAGCAGTACCAATCAGAAAAACAGAAGGCACAACTGCGTGAAAGCCCTGGGCAGCTTTGTAAAGTCTTTAAAGCCTGCTTGCTGCTCCTTCATTCAAACTGTAGGGATTTTTTTTTTTTTGGTCATTTTGTAAGCTCGTAGTACAAAGCTCATAGAGCGCTAGATTCATAGCCCACCCTCAAATTACAGTAGTCAAAGCACCAAGCAAGGTGCATTACTGTTTTATTGAAGTAGAAGAGCAGACTAAAACAACACTGGATTATACTTACATGAACTTTCTTGGCTGGTGGGGAGCAAAATTGAGAACAATTTTCTTTGGAATACTTACAAAGATTTTCATTTAATGAACTTTGGGACTGATATTGTGGCACAATGTGTTAAGCCACCACTTATAATGCTGGTAAACCCATGTCTGAGTGCTGATTCAAGTTCCAGCCATTGTGCTTCTAGTCTACCTAATGTACCTGGGAAAGCACCCGAGATGACTCATGTATTTGAGCCACTGCCACCATAATGAGTGGCTAAGCGTGAAATTCTGTTTGGGAAAGCTGTTGTTAATCTGAAATTTCTTCCTGATTTTATACTTGACAAATGGTGTGTCTTAATGGAAGATGTTAAGTTAGTGGCTGGTTGGTACAGAATTGAGAAACAGTGGCTCGGAGTTTATCCACATTACTTGAAAGTTTGGACAAAACTGATCATTTGTCTTAAAAAAGTCATGTGTCCTTGACCAATCATCTTCCGATGCAGATAAGGCTACTCAAGATGAATGAAGCTCTTGTGCATTGTGGCATCCTCAGGGTTCATTATGTAAAATGGTTTTTCTCCAGAAATGATTTGTGCCTCAAAAAAAAAAAAAAAAAGAATCTTAGCAAGCACAAACAGGATGAACAAACTCATTAGAGAATTTCTCTTCAGTCATTGCACAAACTGTCATGATGCTTTTTCATACTGACCACATAAATTTGTGCTGCAGCTTCCCAAAAAAACAGTTCAGGTAAATTTAATTTTACATGTACTGGTTTCGAGGCATCTTTGTCCTTTCTTTCCTTCATTCTTTCTCGATCTTTCTTTTTTTTTTTTATTGTTAAACACATTGTATTATGTGATACAGTTTTATAGGCACTGGGATTCCCCCTACCCCTCCCCTTTCTCGATCTTTCAATGCTAACTTCTTGAAATTTAGTCCCCTAAAATATTTAATTAGGAAGCGAACCCTGGAGGAGAAACACCTAACAATTTTAAATATCAGTGGGACTTGAAACCATTACCAGGGATCTTCTGTTCTTGTTTCTAACTCACAGAAAAATCTGCACTCATGAACAAATGGCTTCTGTATCAGAACATGTCATAGTAGGTATCTTTGACTGCCATTCTAGGTCATAAGAGGCCTTGGCTATAGTAAGCAATCTCTCATCACTCTATTTTTAGAACTTCTGAAAATTTTCTTTATTTGAAAGGCAGAGAGAGAAACCACTCTGTTGATACACTCCCCACATAGTCCCTAAGGCCATGACTGGGCTACGATCAAAGCCAGAAACTGGGAACTCAATTTGGGTCTCCTATGGATGTGGCAGGAACCTAGTTTTGAATGATCACTGCTGTTCCTCATGGTTTGCTGTGCTTTTGATGACTTCCAAAAGTCCTTACCAACACCTGTATCTTACAGAGTGCTTCCTGTTTGACGGTTTCTGTGTGCAGATTTAGGTCCCTGATCCATTTAGAACTGATTTATTTGTAAGGTGTGAGGTTGGACCTTATTTCTGCAACAGATAAGCCCATGAGATATAAGTAAAGGTGTTAGGTGAAGCTTCCAGAGAAATTTTTTTAGAAGGGGCTGACTGGGCCCAGTGCATTAGTCTAGTGGCTAAAGTCCTCACCTTGCATGCACCAGGATCCCATATGGGTGCTGGTTCTAATCCCAGTGGTCCCACTTCCCATCCAGCTCCTTGCTGGTGGCCGCTGGTGGCCTGGGAAAGCAGTTGAGGATGGCTTAAAGCCTTGGGACACTGTATCTGTGTGGGAGATCCAGAAGAGGTTCTGGGCTGCTGGCTTCCAGCTCCAGCCATTGCGATGGTTGGGGAGTGAATCATCAGCCTACCTATCTGTGCCTACCTCTCTTTTGTTTAAAGCAATGTTGGAGTTTTCTGTTGTCTGCAGCCAAACCTAAGCCAAACTCCCATGATCTCTGTAGCCAAGCCAGGACACTCTCCCCACCTGCGCCAAATGCTGCATGCTCATTAAAATGGATACCTCTACTCTCTTAAAAAATAACAACAAACAAATCAACCAAAAAAAAAAAAAGCCCTACGTTTATTTATTTATTTTTCACTTGAAAAGCAG